GCTGCGCCCCGTGCAGGGGCGCTCAGTGCTCGGTGCTCGTGCTCCACTTCATTTGCTGCCTGAGGGAAGCAGCCGCCGGGGCCAGAGAACCTTGGCTGGCTGAGCCCTTCTTCATGTTAATAACCCAAAACAAATGCAGTTTTGAAATTAACTTCTATAAATGAACAGTGTAAGCCCCTGAGAGCTGTGGTCTCAGGATTTTTACCAAGAGAAAAAGGAATTCAAAAATAGCACCTTTGGTGGTTGAATTGGGCACCTTGTCCAGGCTGATGAAAGTGCAAATTGTTACAGTCTGAACCCCCTCAAGCAATTTAGCAACATTTAACAAGTTCTGTAGTGCTGTTAATGCCTTCCCACCATAATTCTACTTCTGGGAATTTAGCTGAAGGAAAAAATTGTAAATGGGCATAAATATAGTTATAATGTCAGGAACTTGGACAGAACCTAAATGTCCGACAACAGGGGATTGATTCAACAAAGCCTGAAAATGTATGTATTTTTCTGCCTGTAGGAATGGCAAAATGTAGAAAATGGTAGAAAACATTGATAAGGTAATGTAAATTGAAAAAAAATATAGCAGGCTCATGTTATATTTCAAAAACTATACACATGTCGTGCATGTGTGTTACGTGGTATGTGTACAAGTGACAGCTAAGGAAACAATAGAATAAAACATCTCAGGGTGATAAGGTTTGGGATTTCTTTTCCCTTTTTTATATCTTTCTATATTTTCCAAACTCCTATGTTCCTCTTCAGGAGAAAGCCCATCATTTGAATTTGTATTGCTTTAGAATGCCTTGTACTGCTGTAACCCATGAAAACGGCAAGAAGAGTCGGTGGGAGCTTGACCTGCACTGTGTCAGGGACCCTGGGAAGGCGCAGGACTGGTAGTGGCGGCCTCGTGGCGGTGGGCCTTGCTAGTATTTTTCTGTTAAGAATGCGTCTTCTTTTAGGAAAATGTGCCTTGCAAGTCTGTGCCACGCTTGGTTAGAGTAATAATTTCTGTACTGCCCGCTGTGACTGTAGTCTGTCCTGGACATGATGGAGATTTTAACATGCTGATAAACACTCTCCCCTGCAGACATCCCTGAGATTCCAGAAAGCATCTCCTTCTGTAAAGCGCTGCAGATAGCTGACTTCAGCGGGAACCCTCTGACCAGGTAACTGTCACCTCCCTCTCCACTCTGTACGGTGGGTGTCCTTTAGGGCCCAGCGCCACGCCAACCATTGAAACCAGGTGTGGTAGTGCACGCCTGTAATCCCAGCACTGGGAGGCTGAGACAGGAGGATCACTATGAATCCGAGCTACGTAGCGAGACCCTGTACCAAATAAATAAATAAAAGATTTTTTAAAAATCTGGAATTAACCTATATTAAATATCAAACTGTAACAGAGGATATTTTTTCAAAAAAGAACCTAGAAAAACAAATAAAGGGCTTTAATCTCGAGACTTATCACTGAAGTCTCCACTGCTGGAAAAAAGGGGCAGTTGTACAATTCCTTTGTCTTTATTAGCAGATGTGTGCATTTGTACCAGGTCTCATTGTAGCTACAAAAAGATGCTTTTGCTTTTCGTCACTTTTTTCCTCTCTAAATGCTGCAACCATAAAAATACTGAAACTAAGATTCCTGTATGAGTTTGAAATAAAGTACCATGAAAGACACATTGTGCTTTGCAGTTTGAAGCCTTACTATTTGGTAGTGCTTCAGGGACATAGAAAAAACTGCTTTTGTGTAGCGTGGAGGGAGACATCCAATTGTGTCAAGTGAGTGACACCTTGAATGAAGAGAAAAATGAAGGAAGTAGCGGCTGGCAGGGCCGCCAGCTGATCGGCTCTAAGTGTTCTAAGCTATGGGAAGAAGACAGCAAGCAGCGGCCCTGTGTTCCATTGTAACTTCAAGGGCTATGGAGTTATAACAATTTTCTCTTTATTTTCTGCTAATCAATAAAATATTTTCATCCTTTGGACCTTTGAGCTGCAGCAGCAGTTTACCATTTTTTTTGAAAAGAGCACTTAGTAGTTCTCATACCATGTTTTGCTTCTTTAGTTTTAGAACTTGTATATCTTTTCTCTTTTTAATTAATTTTGTATCACTCTCATCGATAAATGGAAGCCCTTGTACTTCCATTAGGTTGACAATGTATTTTTTTCCTTATGAATGTAATACGTTATAGCAAGGCAAAGCAAACACGCTATTTATAATGTGATTTTTAAGAGGCAATTTCAATTAGCATATAGAAATCATTCTGTTCGTGCTGTTCTAAATTAAAAACATTTTCTTTGTCCTAGGCTGCCAGAAAGCTTCCCTGAATTACAGAATTTAACATGTCTGTCTGTAAACGACATCTCCCTGCAGTCTCTGCCTGACAATATTGGCAAGTAAGTTTTTATCTGAACGTAGCTTGTATCTGGGTGAAAGGATGCTTGTATCATGCCCCCCCCCCCTTGCCTTTGGTTGCTCTCACTGTCTATGGAAAAAGCCATTTGCCCCTTCTCAGTATTACTTTCAGGAGAGCAGCTAACCAGCTGCCTGTGTGTTTGTATCCAGTTGCTCCTAAATTTTAATAGCTATAAAGTATGTTGCTATTTGTTACACTTTGTTTGCTACATCAAGTTTTCACACGTAGTGTTGTTTGAAAACCCTTAATTATAATGGCCATTTCCACGTGCACACTGACGCTGCACTCCTGCGCCCCGTGGCCGACCTGAGCGCCCCAGCTCCCCACCTCTTTTCTGGCTTCGATTCTGCTTAAAGCACTTGAATGCTTTACAATGAAATTTGTTCTTAGTAAATTAGAGTTCCCCTCCCCTTGTACTTTATTGTTTAATGGAAGTGTTCAATAGTCCTCTTAGAGTAAGCTACAATGTTCCTTATTTCATCTTTTCCTTTAATGCCTGTGCCTGTTTCTGTCAGTGTTCAGGATTTCTTTTGTGTCTGCACCATCAGTAATGGGTAGTGTTCTGTTTTATTTCAGTGTTTAGTATGCTTGTGTTACTGCTGTGGCATGTTTACTGATTGTTTCCAAAATAACTTGTTACTTGAACTTAAAATTGATTCTTTTAATTTTAAAGACAGTAATAAAGAAATCAATAATGATACAGAATTTCAAAACAAGATGATAGGAAATTGACAGTGGTTATTATATTGTGTATTGGTATCTTCAAAGTAGTTGTTCAGATTACATTTTGCATGCAAAATTGATTAAACAATATAAACACTAATTCTTTTCGGTGAACTAATAGTAATTAGTAGTACAATTACTCTAGCTATCTTTGGATATATTCCTTCCTTTTTATCTCTTTTCCCCTATCTCAGTTACTTTCTTTTTGATCAGTTCTGGTTAGGATAGCTGTGAAATTAAGTGAAAGTAGAGAACACATAGTCTCAGTTGTTAGTACTTCTACTGTAGCAAGAAACTGTTCTTTCTTCCTGTTGGAGTTAAGATTTCTGCATGCTTGAGCCAGTACAAAAAGACTTTGTAGCAAGAAATCAAAGAACAAACTCCTGCTTGGCAGGGCTGGCAGCACTGGGGTTCTGGGCCTGCTGCGGAGTGCTCCAGGGAGTTGGCAGAAGGCACGGCAGGACGCCTCAGCCGTGCACCGAGGCAGCTGGGCGCCTGGGGCTCCCTGGAGCGGGCGCGCCTCGGTGTCTTGGAGCATTCCCCGTGCTTCTTTAAAATGCTTATGTTTTTAGTGACTGGTACGCCTTCTCAAGGGTAAAATGGTTTTGCAAGCATGGCACACCTGTTCGGTATCCCCCAGGCTGAAGAGGGCATGAAACCGCCAGTGAGTGGTGGATGCTTACTGTCATCTTCACGGGACCTCAAGCAGAACGCTCACATAAATCTACCCCACCTGCCTGGTGGACATTTGGAGCATCGGGGAAGGTGGGGCCTGTTGCACCCTGCCTCCTCCCTCACAGGTGCTTGACGTTAACCAGGAGAGCTGTGGGGCTCCTCTTGGAGGGAAGGGCACATACTGGGGGGGGGGGGGGGCAAAGCCTGTGTGGAGGACGAGCAGACTTGTCCTGCCTCAAGCTCAGGGAGCCCCAGGTGCCTGTCCCATGCTGGGTGTCCTGCACCCATGGTGGGGTCATTTGAAGACTTCAGGGAGTTGGTGGCAACGCTGGGCCTGGAACACAGCTCCCCAGCTCCAGCCCCGTGTCACAGCTGACTGTAAGTCAGTTGCAATTCCTAAGGTCTTTGGGGGCTCCGAAATTGTCTCAGTGCTCCTAGAAATAGCAATCCATTCTAATTTGTAAGTGGTCATGTCTAAAGAACTTAGTGTTCATGTACTAACAACCTAGTAGCTGTTTGAAAAAATAGTGCATGTCAGTTGAAAGAATGAATGCTTTCACTTCGTTCTAGAGTCTCCCCACTTACTGCTCGAGGTGTGGATACCTGCTGGGCGTTGCTCAGCTTCTCAGCTCGTTTCCTCTTCCACATTGATTCCACCCACTGCTTTTTATCACATCAGTCACTGAAAACAACTTCACAGGGGTTGGATGTTCTTGTCCCCAGAGAGGAATGCAGCGCTAGCTCTTTGAGACTGAACTGCCCGCCTTAGCGGTTCACAGGGAGCCAACAGAGGCTGAGTATCCCTGTGTCACCCCCTAGCTGCCGTGCCCTGCAGCACCCCTGTGGTTGGAGGCAGCTTCCTGGTCATGGCGGCAGACGCGTTCGCTGTTGCTGTCTTCAGTGCTTGGAGCATGCACGGCCTCACCTGTTGGGTAGGAGCAGAAGTGGTTGATATTTATCTAAAACACCCAGAAAGGATCCTCACCTGTGAGTATGACCTCCCTCCACTGGGACTCTGTGTCCACCTGCGGCCCCGGGCTGTGTCTGAAGGAGGCCCCTGGAGAGCAGACTGCACACCCCCCAGCGCAGGGCTCTGGCTAGGGCATGTGCCTGGGGGCATCACCCCGCGCTGCGAGTGTGGGTTGTGCACGATGTGGTCACGCCACGGGTCTACTTTGGAAAGCAAGTCTTTAAGTGCAGCTTCCTCTTGACTTATGGTGGAATTATATCTGCATCAATCCCCTGCAAGTTGAAAATAGCATCCATCGAAAAGGCATTTAATGTGCCTAGTTCAGTGAGCCCTGCCACGCTCCGCTTTCCGCGTGGTCCCATGGCTGCGTGGAGCTGTGGCTTGTTGCTGCCGCTCGGTATCTGAGAATGTCCTATCAGATGTCACCAGCTTAGGAAAAGACCAAATTTAAAATTCAAAGGGTGGCTTCTACTGAAAGTATGTCACTTTTATACCATCTTAAAGTTGAAAATTATAGGTTGGACCTCAGGAACTGACTGTAGTAGAAGCTTTATAATTCATTGTCGTCAGATGGAGGGTGCTCAGGGGCCCTTTTGGGCTGGGCAGGTCCACCAGCAACCCCCTCTGAACTGCACAGTTTTGTTTTACTGCAAGTGTCCCAGATTTGCTGACCCTGTTCTCTAATAGCAGATAGCTTCCAGCACACCAGATGTTACTCAGGCTTTCAAAATACAGCTGATGCCCAGCACGGAGTGAGGAATTAACCCAGTGGATTTAAAAAACCCTTTTGTTGAAGTATTTTCTGACTAGTCTTCATGAGCAGTCACCTGGGCTCAGGCCAGACAGCAGTTTGTCATTCAATTGCGGGACTTTGCCATCATGGAGAGCTTTTAAGTATTAGTGTGTTGATTTAGTGCACTTACCTGATGATGCAGTTCTACTTGAGAAGTATTTTTTCATCTTTTAAAACTGTTGAACCAAAGTAAACTATTTAAGATTATTTGTTTTATTTCCAAGTTAAAATATAAGACTTTTAAGGCAGTTTTAGTCTCACTGTTCTAAGATGACCTAAAAGACTCTTGTGTCTTAAACATCTTAAACTATATTTTATGTATTTATTTATTTTTGCATTTTAGGGAAGGGTCTACAGGGTGTTCAGGGTCTCACTACTAGATTGGATTTGTAGTGATCTGCCTGTTTACAGCCTCCCAAGAGCTGGGATTACAGGCACATGCCACCATGCCCAGGCTCATTTGTCAGCTCAGCGTGCCCCGGGGGCAGGGCCAGCACCCCAGGCCTGGGAATCGAGCCCCCAGCCCCTGTGCCTGCTTGCAGGTGCTTTAATCTGCTGAGCTATTTGGCCGGCCCCTTAAAACTATATTTTAAAAAATAAATAAAAATATGTTTTGCTTTGTTTTTAATCTTACATAAAATTTTATTTTTATGTATAGGTTATATACATTATAAAGGCAAAGAGGTATGCTTTTAAATGTGTTGAAACCATCACATTAGAGAGAGTGCTTGGGAGTTAGCTGCATCTCACACTGGTGGTCCTCGTACTTCTGGCCCAAGGGCTTCTACTGAGGCCTTCCCATGGTGGGTCATAGAGGGAGTCCGAAGGTCCAGCGTGGTGTGTGCTACTCTAGCTTTATTATTAGCTTTCTGACTTTATATATTGTAGCTGCAAGTATAAAAGTCTGCCACTAATATTTTTCTAGTTAAGTTTAGAGTCTACAGATACTCGGTAATGATTACTGATTGTGGCAGGGCACATGTAGAATTTTAATGTTGTCAGATCCTAACAGGCATTCTAAATCCTACGAAAAATGCGCCTTCCTCCTCTCTTTCCAGGTCTGCTGAGGATTGTCTTCATTTAATGACTGCAATTCTCTCTCTCTCTCTCTCTCTCTCTCTCTCTCAAATATATTGTAATAATTTTATTGAGAAAGAAGTAGAATGAGATGGTTTCGAAACAGGTTAGTAGTACAGCTGCAATATGTAACACATGGCGTGTTGTCTCCGTAGCAGTTGTCCCTAGTACAAGATGCCGACATGATGTCCTGTCTAAACGCTAGTAGTGCACACCCTCTCCAGTGATTGGGAAGTTGAACTAGATCCCAGGCATGCAGATCCTTCTTCTCCCTGAGCAGCGAGCGCTTAGTCCTGCGCCTGTACACGGAGTCCAGTTGTGCAGTGTCTGGTTGTGTGCATCTGATTGGCTCATAGACCTGGGTCACTCTGTCCTCTGACATGCGGGGATCTGGATGGGGTCACCTCTCCTGGCGTCTGGCCAGACCATGGCACTGTTCGCTTATGCTGAACAAGGAACACGGTGCCGTGTTACCGCCCATTCCACTGGCTTGCAGCGTGACTCCACTGGTTATCTGATTGGGGCCCGGGAAGCTTCGTGCCAGAGCACAGGAGCCGAGCCCCGCACAGTCCACTTCTGCTCAAATGTTACAGACTCAATTTTTATTAAAAAAGTTGTCCTATGAAGAAACAACTATGAAAAATATAGCTTCTGTTATTGTAAAACCTAATGCAGAATAACTATAATGGCTTCATTTTTCTGGTATAAAGAGCAATTATGGAGAGAAAAAGTTATTTTTAGT